TAGGGGGCGAGTTGACTGCCAAAGAGTGTTGCCAAAGAGTGTTGCCAAAGTGCGAGCCAGCATGTTATTTGATCACAAAAAAGTGTGAGCCAGCGAGCCATGACGTCACGTCAATAGATACGAGATGTTACTCGAGTTGTGCGAGGTATCGGCTGAGATTTGTGGAGTACAATTCAAAAAACAACTATAGATCTAATAATGAATTATTGTGAAGTTAAATAGACAATGTTAGCTATCAAGGAGCGACGTTGTTTTTCATTGGGACCTTCGTCCCTTCAAGGCTAGGACTATACCATCCTAGCTAGTCTAGGATGTAGGATAAGGCTAGCGCGACATGCGGACGTTGGTACGTGTAGGTAGTCTACAAACTTCGCCTAAAGTAATTGAATTTACCAGGCAGAACGAAAGAAGGAAACTCCGCATTTCAGTCGTCTTAGGCCCTTGTTTTTTGACAAACAATGACCTTTCAGAGGTCAAATTGCTGTCAAGAATATTAATTGGCTGCTTTGCAGCAATATATAAAAAGAAAAAGTTGGAAAATGCATAAAACAGTAAAAATAATGTTGACCTATTTTTTTTTAAAGAAAAATCCACATTATATAGTATTTGTAAGATATCACCTCAATTCATCAGCTACTACCTCCTCACTTAGATCATGGACCTAGGTCCATGCTTAGATCAATCCCTGGTTAGCGACGAGGGAGTATCCCCATACTGCAGTTTGAGTGCCGGCTTGGCTTGGAACTTTCATCTTAATTTTATTTGTTATTCTTTCACATTTCCAAACATCTTTACACTTTTTTTTTTTCCAATTTGCATAGAGACTTCTATTTTGCGCTTTATAAATTTAAATCCATTAACTTCCCTACTCCCTTAATATTTGTCATACAATACCTATCTTAATATGGATTAATTTGATTTGTATCTTTTCATTATTACTAATTGTTTACAGGTTAGTATCTTGTCTTCATTTGAGAGTCGACTCAAGAAACTGGAAGAAACCATTCTTCCTGTCCATAATGAAACCGTTGCACTTCAACATTTACAAGCAAGTATCCTTTAAAAATAAACAGGTACAGGTGTAACCAAATCACGATGATGATATCATCATTATAGCCTCATTATCATTCATCATCGATTTTTTTTTTTAATATTAAAATCACAATGCAATCACAACTCGATATGCTCCTTAACAACACTGTCAGATGTGGAGAAGTCTCTAAAGGCCTTTGATGAAGTACTGACCTATCACAATGTTGTCCGTGATGCAGAGCAGTTTATCAAAGAGGGGTCAGTACCCAATGGATACAGTTTCATGAGATGTTAATCTTTGTTCACACTAACACATTTTATGAACATGTTAAAACTATGTATTTACTGTACTGTATAGTGTTATATTTAGATTAATTTCTAGAAACTAGTAGGGTTAAAGATTGCTGCCTTTTATTGCCAAAATGCAAGTACTATATACAGCAATTATGCAGACGATCAGCTGGCTTTCCTGCAGCTTGTAGTAAAAATCAAGAAAAAATAAATGGGGGAAGGGAAGAGATAAAATAATTCAATTATTAGCCAAGATATTTGTTTTAAAATGCATAGATTATATAAACTTGAACATGGTTTAGGCTAGCTTAGCAGAACTGTAAATTTGTTTAGTTCGTAAGAATGCTAAATGGAAGAAACGGCATGGTATATAATAGTGCTCATAGTAAACAGACCTGCTGAACATTTCATGATTTATATAATGCAATGCATATATTATTCACTGATTTGGATCTACGGCTTGCAGGGCAAGCGGAAGGATTGAAGAGTATCTGGCAAAGATGGGAGAAATCCAGGAAGCAAGGGAATACTTTAGGCAAAATAATCCCGGAAGTCCTGAACTTTCTAAAGCTGTAAGTCATCTAAATCATATGTTATTCCTTGAAAAACAAATTACCTAAGTCATACAAAATTCGGAATACACTACAAATACGAAATTTTTAGCACTTGCTCAGTCTTATGACGTCTTCAATTTTTAAGTTTATTTGTAAAGGGAATCTTTAAGTTCATCACATTTAAGAGGTTATTTGAGTGGGGTTTTTTTTGTTTTTTATTTTTCTTTTTTGAGATTGCTCTCTATAATAAATAATGCTCACCAGTCTCACTAAAACCTCAATCAGTTTAGATTGATTGATTAACTTTGCACTGGTGGTCATTTATCTGTACAGTTAATAATCTTACTGACATGAATGTTCCATTCTACCATCAACAGACATCACAGTTTAATATGGGAAAAGAAAGCCTTCAGAATGAGTTTCGCAGCATGTTGAATCGTCACAGTAAACTGGTCCCAGCAATCATGATCCTGGACTTAATCGAAGGTGATGAGGATTTTCAAGATGAGGGCGCCCCTCCTTTTGAACACCTTCCTGGTAAGACTCATGTTCTTAGTTGTTATCTGTCATTGAGGGCGCCCCTCCTTTTGAACACCTTCCTGGTAAGACTCATGTTCTTAGTTGTTATCTGTCATTGATGGTCACCTCACCATGAAAACTGAAGGGGACTTTTTTCTAACATGTTTTCTCAGATAAGGACTATAATCTCTATTGTGTGCACTTCAAAGAACCAGGGAATCTTTCAGAAAGAGTAGGGGGTTACCTCAGTGTTCTGTTCCAGCCCCTGCCATAGACTTGTCAAAAGTCTGTACAAGCTCCATCTGACAGGATGGGACACTAGCAAGTTCAGAAATAAGTTTGTCTGCTAAGCTCATACTGACACAGATACAATTTTTTTTTAAACCATATTTATAGAGGGTGACACTTCCAGCGTATTCGTAGAAGGTCGGCTGATATTCACGGCCCTCTTAATTATATGAAATAATGTGATGCATTTATTAGCGAAGTCTCTTTATGAGGCTTAGGGAGTGGAGTGGTTTTTAGTCCTGAGAAAAAGTCCTACTGTCACAGGAACTGATCCGAGGATCCTTTATAAAATTACTATTAGGATCACACTAATGCGATTTATAATTTCCTTTCTAGAAAAGGCAGTACAAGAATTGTCAATGATTGCCAAGTGGTTACAAGGTCCGGGTGAATCATCTGATTATATTGACGTGTATCATGCAATCCGTGCTAGCGCTCTCAAGAGGTCCATTGAAGGCATGAAAGACCATCTCATGAAGAAATCTGGAGGATCAGGCTCATCGGGTCATGCAATGGCATCACCAATGGTAACAGCGTATTTTCATTTTAAGTATATATGTTCCGCAAAAAAATTACACAATCAATATTCATTGCACCATTGCACATGAAATTAGAAATCATTTGAAATCACACGGAATCATGCAATATATATATCAGTATGTTATTAATGGTATTAAAAATTTTATTAGTAGAATTGTAAGAACTTAGTAAAAAAAAGTTATCTTAAATAGAATGTGATTTGCCCAAACATGGGTATGATGATTTTATATCACAGTCATATTAGGTGGCCATGAAACTTACAATTGTGGAAAGATCAGAAAGCCCTTAAATTTCCCCATTGGAATTAAGATGTACTTGTGTTCATGAAATACTTTCAGATTAAATTTGTATTTCTTTATTTTGTTCACCACTGTCTTACATGCCTTTTAATGACTAGTTGTTTTTTGTTTTGTTTTTTTTATCCAGAGTTCAAAAGGAAAAGCAAAAGATCCAACAAAGCGTTCGTCACTTGTCAAACCGTAAGATCAACTAAAATTCCATATTTTATGTATTATATCTAATTATAACATTTTGTATGTATAAATTGCAGCCTGATTTGTTAATGTATTCCTGTAGCTCTGTGAATACTATCAAATTTTATTTGACAAAAAACTGATATATGCCCATATATAGTCATGATATGCCTATATATGGTCATGATGTGATGTCATTATGACCATATTTAGCTATCGCAATAAAATTTGATCAGCTGGACAAGGCTTTTTATACAGTAGCTTCATAGGAAGCTTTAGGAAATTCTCAAGTTTTATGTAAATTTTATTTTATCTTTTAAACAGGGTGATGAAAAAAAGCCCAGCCTATTTACTTATCGCAAGTTTTGAGTCAGGTATGTTTATTTTCTGTATATTAAATACAGTGACAGCTTGCTGGTAGTAGAACAGCAGTAATGAATTATTGTGTTGACGTTCATTGTTGAAAAGGGTTTTTCGAGGGCGTGTTTATTTATCAAGGGAGGCGTTTATATTTTTTAGGTGTAAAATGGATACCTATAATACTCAAATATACGCCCCTTAATTTTACCGTAAATGTGGAATACAACACATAATTGCCTTTAAAATGTTTTATTGTGTGATCATAAAGACTTATTGATCCCAAACAGGTTAGAAAAAAAATTTAATTCTCCTGGAGTAGAACATTAATAGAATGTGTTGTAAATGAATTATGTTGCTTACATTGTTTACAGTCATTTAGGGGGGTGTTTACTTGAGCAAAAAGTAAACACCTCGAGGCATTTATTCCAAATGAGGCTCTAGAGGGGGTGTTTATATTCGAGGGTGGGGGGTCTTTGTTTATTTAAAGCGGGGCTTTTATTCGAATAAATGTGGTATTTCTTTTTTTCACATCCAGCAAAGCGACAAAATGCGTTGACTAGTACAGCTACTGATATGAGAGAAGAAGGCAGCATGGATATTGAGACGGAACAATTTATTCTCAGTATTCTTGCTTTACTAAAACTTATTCAGGTAAACTTTACAATAAATGATGAGAAAAAAAATAATATAGGGAGTGAATATTCAGTACAATAACACGTCAGGTAGGGCAAAAACATCACTACTACGATATTTTTCTGATGCAAACACACATCGAAATGAAAAAAAAAAATGATTATAGATTTGTATGCAAATGCCTACTTTACATTGTAAAATGCAATTAACAGATGACTACAATTCTTTCCAGAGCGAGGCATTGCTGATGAACTCCATAATACCGTATGAACATCATCGCAAAACATTTGACAAAATTATTGACAGGTCAATGGAAATGGTGGCTCAGGATGGAGAGGTAAGACCTTTTGAAATATGCTAACACATTTATTCAAAATTATTTTGAAATCAAATTTAATGATTTAGTTCAATTAAATTCTATTAGAATTGAAGAGTACTTAACTCAAATTCATTTGATGCTTAATGTTAAAAGTGCTTTACTTGAATTTTAGGCAAAGAGACATAATGACATACCTAATTTTATTTAGTTTTTATCATGAAAAAGAATTCTACGTACCTAATTCAAACTTTATTGGTTTTTTTAACAGAATATAAACACCAATGCTAAGCGGGCTATTGGGAAGCATGATTTCTCAGCATTATTATCAATATTTCCGGTCTTAAAACATCTCAATGCTTGCAAAGCAGAATTTGATGAACAGTTAATGGTAGGTTATTAGAATGAGTAAAGACATAATGTTAGGTCACAAGCCTAAAACATTTATGTAAGGTCAATTTGGGCAATATCATTGAAAAAGCAAATTGACAATATGCTCATATCCAAAACATTATTATTATTATTATTATTATTATTATTATTATTATTATTATTGTTATTATTATTATTATTATTATTATATCCACAATTTCCTCTTGAATGAATATTTTCCAGCTCCAGAACTTTAGTGACCCGGTAAATTCAATATGAATCAATTTAAATACGATGAATATTGACTCTGATTGGCAATTTACAGCAACAATTAAATTTATTCATTTTGAAGACACGTTCACTTCTTGAACCAGGGTTCCCATGTTTGATGCAGGTAGTGAGAGTCTCCCGGATTAGGACAGCATCCCACACTCATTTACCGGACAAGAATCTTCCGGAAAATAACCCATCTCCAGCAAATTCAATAAATCTGCATGTTTGACTACTGCATTACTGTATTATCATTTGACTCACATTAGTCTGTGTCGATTGGTATTACCATAGGCAGCAAAGAAAATGAGATGTGGTAAGAAAGATTGTTTAAACAGATCTCCTGGATCATGACTTCTTCCAGCTTGGGACCCCCTATTGAACCTACTTGTACCCTTTATTCACATTCAGGGCACAGCACCTTCTACGAGACTCAAACTTTCTGATTTGACTCGTAGCCTTCAGCAGTTGCCAATTTTTTTTTTTACAGTAAATTGCATTTATATTTAATCATGTTTAGGGCACAGCACCTTCTACAAGACTCAAGCTTCCTGATTTGACACGTAGCCTTCAGCAGACAGGATCCAAGGCCCTGGATGAGTTCTTTGAAATAGTGAAGAATGATCCAGATAAGTCAAACATGCCTAGAGATGGCACGGTTCATGAGCTCACCAGTAATGCAGTCATCTTCATGGAAAATCTTCAGGAATTCATTGACACAACATCGTCTATGCTGTCAACACAAAAAGGTAGAGTTTTCATCTTTTTTCAACACATTCCAAATGTTTCTATTGATCATTTTAAAGCACTAAAAATTACTATTGAAATGCCACAACTTTTACTTTATTTATAATTGTGTAATCATATACAATTTTCAGATGCAATATTATCAAGAGGGAGTGATGACACAGCCAAGAAGAAATTGGTTGCAGCATATATTGGTGAGAGTAAATGCATAAAATATTATACAAGATTTTCAAAACTATGCAGAAATATATAATTATATTCATGAAATAGCATTTGCAGTATCTACTGCTTCTTGGAGATCGGATTCAACTCTAGTCACTAAAATGGTCTAGTGGTTATGACACCAGGCTAGTTATCTGGAGATTTTGGGTTCAATTCCAATGCAAATCACTTGTCAGGTAGGGAAAAAAACTCAATGCAATAAAAATAAACTTAATTAATTATGACACTGTGAATTGTTTGCAGCAAAAGTACTTGGAGCTCTGGGTCTCAACTTAGATCAGAAAGCCAAGACTTACAATGACCAATATCTTGGTGCTATCTTCCTACTCAACAACTACCATTATCTTCTCAAGTCTTTGCAAAGGTAAGTTTATTTATTATACAGGTCTCCCTCCAATTAAAGACCTCTTTTGGGACCACAGTTTTCATGGTCTTTAGTAGCTTTGGTCTCTAATTAGAGTAATAAAAATAAAGACATTTGTTAACTTGGGACCACAGAAAAGTGGTCTTTAATTAGAGGTGGTCTTAAATTGGAGTGGTCTTTATTTAGAGGGAGACCTGTATTTATTTACAGAAGGGTGCTTTATTTAGCATACTTGATTATTTGGGATTCTCACACCATGCAATAGATCACAGGTGGGCAAAGTGCGGCCTAACAGCGATTTTTTTTTTTTGCGACCCACAAAAAATGAATTAAAAACCCTATGTGTGCGGCTTGCTAAGCAAAACTGGCTAGAAAACACCTTGTTTTTTACTGCACAATGCTGAAAGTTGCATTAAAACTAAGAATAATGTGGTGTAGTGTAAATTTGAGGTTTTTGGAAGCTCATTGGAAACATCAAAGTTTGGGTGTGGCCTTCGGTGTTAAATCAAAAATTCAATTTGGCCCTCAGAAAACAGTGAAAATGTGTTCTTAATTTAAATATAGTACACATTTACAAATACTCAGTATGTACTACGGAGATATAACATTAATTTTTCTATGATTAGCATTTTGTGATTGATAATTATTTATATAAATATATTTGAAGTATATAATAAGTGATAACATAAAATGTACAGATTCAATGATAAATCAGAATGTTGTATATGTAATTATTAAAAATATATTAAAACATTAAAAAACTTCCAAACATGTTATAAATCAGACATTTCTAGTCTTAAAAATTCACTGAAAGTCAAGATGAAATGCTATAATTTAGTTTGTATGTCTTTATGTTTCTCAGATCAGGTTTAATCCAACTTGTAATGTGCTTCAATCCTGATGTGGAAAGTCATTATGAGCAAATCATTAAAGATCAAAAGGTGGAATACACAAAAAGGTAAGGCAAGGTCAAATGATGACAGGCATAATAATATAGAGCGCCTTCTTTATTCATAGTAGAAAAAATAGATGGGGCAAGCCATGACAAAACTATCATCAGTGACTAAAATATGAAAATAGACTTTTTAATATATTCGTATTCTCCACATTATAAGCTTTAAAATGATGGGTCATTTACTGGAATCGACTTTTCTATACTGCCACATTTCTATGCTAATTACTTGGTTAAACATTTAGCTCATTCGGCTAAACTGGTGATAGCCACTGTGTGTGCGCTGAACCGTGGAGATATCTATTGTTAATTTTTTGTGCCCGTTTCAATTTCACCCGCTGCTTCCCTTGTATTTCAACTGAAATGCAAGTATAAAAAGCACATGGAAGGACCAAAAGAGGGTGCACTTTTGAAACTTCAATTTCAGACCTGCAGCTAAAACTAAATGATAGCAGCGATGGGAATTAAACAGGGACCAAGGTTTTGTAGAGATGTCTACGGTTCATCACACGCAAAGTGGCTACCACCAGTTTAGCCAACTGTGCTATGCTGCTTCCTCCTTAGTTATTAAATTAATCTTATAAGTTCATAATAACTGTATGAAGTTTTATTATGATAATATCTTCATTTTACTGTGTTTATTTATATTATATTTTCATTAGTTGGAGCCGTGTAATTACTCAAATTCATGAAGCTAGTCGACCGCCATTTTTACTTGAGCGTGAAGCCGGAGGCCGACTGAAAGATCGCGAGAGACAACATATCAAGGATAAGTTTAAGGTATTGTACCTATATTTGGAAGGTTGATATAAATGTACTTTAAGGAGCATATTGCAGTGATTACTGAACCATTAGAATTAACCCATTGGAGCATCTTAAAATGGTATGGTCATTGTAGTGATTAGTTAATATGTAAATTCTTATATGTAAATTGTTCCATGTGCAAATGTTTGTTATTAAAAGGACTGTTATGTAAGAGAACAGTTCAGTACAGTATAGTCAGTTGTTGAGTATACTTCTTTGTGTGAACACATCTATTACAATGGCGACGAGGATATTGTAACCACGTTTGCAATAGTTTGATTGTACTGTTAGTATTATTTGGTATGATGGCTGTTCAACAAGGGTTGATGTTTACCCAGATAACTCCATTTGATATTCATGGCGAGTCCAGTACATTATCGGTACGTTGGAAAAGATGGCTGGCACGTTTTGAAAATAGTTTAATAAACCGACGATTATCCCACTGAAATATTTTGTAAGTAGCCTAAGTATATTGTTATGACCAAGGAAGCAATAAATTGGCCAATTAGTATGCTTTAATTACTTGAAAAATGTAATCATAAGTACTATATTATACTTATCATTTCAGGGTTTTAATACAGAACTTGAAGATTTGTTCAAAGTCCAAAAGTGCTACGCTGTTCCAGACGAGCAGTTGCGAAAAATGCTAAGAGAAGAAAATAAAGCAACTGTAATCAACGCCTACAGAACATTCATGGAAAGGTAAATAGCTGAGTGCATCAAATGCTGAACGCTCTTTCCTATAAGCTCTTTCCTATAATGTTATCCATTCGCTACCATGCGGTATTACAAAGTTCTTTCCCATTAGCCACAGCAAACATAGACATTAATAATAATGGTGGACTTGCGTAGCGCATCAAGCTAAGGCCTCCATGCGTTTCACAATATTATTACCGCAGCTAATCAGCACATTTGGCATTTTTATCCAACAAGTTACCCACTTACACTCCTTGGTGGAGAGAAGCAATGCAGATAAAGTACCTTTTCCAAGGACACAAGTGAAATACTCAGTGAGAGATTGAAACCCTGACCTCAACGTTAGCAAACCAAACTGTTCCTGTTGTGCCAAACTGCTTCTACTGTAATAAATTGCCTTGCCAAGGGCAGTGTGGCTAATCATTGGTCTCGAACCTATGACCTCTCGATTGAAATTCAAAAAGCCCTATTTCCCCACACAGATTCAACACAAAAAATATAATTTTTTTCTATACAGATACGCAACAACAAACTTCACCAAAAACCCAGAAAAATACATCAAATACCATCCTGACCAGGTGGGCAGTATGATTGACAAATTCTTTGATGTCACTGCATAAACGATGGTTGTTGTATAGGCGGCTGATTATCATGGTGGCTTAGGTGGGGCACGCGATTGGAAAAAATCTTGACATCACCACGTAAACAAGTGAGTCTGATTACAATGATGAATTAGGGGGGGGGGGGCAGTATGATTAACAAATTCTTTGATGTCACTGCGTAAACAGTGTTGATGAGCTACGATAGTTGTTACATGGAAGACTGATGACCATGGTGACTGCTTAGGTGGGCCGCATGATCGACAAATCCTTGACGTTCCGTAAACAAGTTCGATGACCTGTGATGATGAGCCTGATTATAGTGATGATTTACGGGGGAAGTATGATCAACAAATTCTTTTCGCCGTCACCAAGTAAATAGTTGTGATGAGCTACAACGATCAATGCATGGCTTTTTATTCAAAATTGTATATAAGTCAGAGTACCGTTCGTTCACATCAAAAAAAAAATCAGATTACTAAATATTGCTACGTGGTTCTTAAGCTCTTTCTAGATTATCAAATTTTCTTTAGACAAAAAACTGTTGCATGACCATATATAGTTATGATATGACCATATATAGTTATGATATGACCATATATAGTTATGATATGACCATATATAGTTATGATATGACCATATATAGTCATGATGTGGCTATATATGATTTAGGCATGTCACATGTTTTTGTCAAAAAAAACTTTGATATTCTAGACACAGCTTTATTTAGTATGATTCAATTTTTTGACGTCACCATATAAATAGTTGTGATTGTTGCATGGGTGACTGATTAAAATACTACGTAAGTATTCAATATTATGTCTCAGTACTGTTCATTTATCTGAAGAAGACGTCAGGCGATGATTTCTTATAGTTGTAGCAGGTTGTTTAGTGAACAAAGAATTTATTATAAATTGGCATAAGAAAATATGATATTAAACATTATGTTGCATATATTTTACATATTTTTATTTGAAAAGATGAGGAATCAGTGATGATATTCTCTTCCACTCTTTCTCATATTTCTCCATGGTGTAACCATAGCAAGAAATTTATCGTGATGTCACAAGGAACATATGTGCACTAATTATCTGTTATATATATGTCATGTTAGTTAACTCTGATAGTGCACACTTATTTGCTTAGTATCACATTTGATGTTTGCATTACTTAGTTTATAACATCAGTTATGTGCTTATATGATGATACAAGGAAAGATTAATAAACTGTCTGATGAAGGAATACACCAGTGGCCTGTCTTGTTAGTAACCATTGCTATTTGAGATAAAATAACCTTGTGGATCTTTCTGCTAAGCCCCGCCCCTTGGATACTGTTGCTAAGGTCCGTCAAACCAATAGGGAGCTTTCGATTTGTGCGACGACTCGACGCTAAAAGGGAATAACTCATACGTGACCGTCCTACCTGGCGTCCTACGTTCTCTGTATATGTAGATTTGACCAAATTGCATTCCGGAATCTACTCGACGAGGTGACCTTAACGTTTTCGCATGCGCAGATGATTTTTAGTGACGTCATTACATTCTACGTCCTACCGTCGTCGTTCAATCGAAAGCTCCCTAATAGCACGTCTGGACGCGGGTATTCTTGGCCCTGTCCTGATTGGTTAGTTAATAAGATTGATTGACGCTCCCATAAGGCCCATGTATGTGTAGACTACAGGTATTTGCAACATATAACTTGATACAAGTATGGACAGATATTTATAAAAGATTTTATTGATAGTGTAAACAGTATGTATGATCCTCCAGAATAAACAAATATTATAAACATAAATCAATGTCGTGTTGTTTTGTTCTGTTTACATATAATTTCTCTTCAGCATTATTTACTCAAACAAATTGAGTTTACTTGTTGCTGAGATACCAACATTTAATATGACCTATGTGCATGTTAGAGAAAGATACATTACACTCTTCGGAAATGAGTACTGTAGGGTGTTTTCTTTTTGGAGGGCCCTGCTGGAAACAGGTCTTGACTTTCGTTTGTTATTCTTGTTTTTCATTTGTTTACAACCAGAAATCAAACCAAAATAGCCATTTTATATAATATATAAAATGGTTTGACATATAATTATTTACAAGCTGAATGGGAACAGACTATAGATTTCTGACAATGCACCAATTCTAATGATAGAGATTTGCAGTAAATTTATTATTGTTTGTTAAACCTATGAAGAAAGTCTTCTAAAATACACAATATTTGATGAATAATACGATGATGTTGTTCTAGTCTAAAGCCCTGATCAAACTATCCAATTTTGTTTGATACAAAAACTGTTGTATACCCATGTATATTCATGAGGTGTCTATATATGGTCATGATGTTATGTCATCATGACCATATTTGGGCATGTCATGTTTTTGTCATATAAAATTTGATAGTCTGAAAGGGATTAATACATAAAACAGTAGGCCTAAGAAAGCAGATTTTGTTATCACAAGCGTTTGTATACACAGTACATTGCTTCAGGTGAATGTTCCAGACTAATTGATTTGATTTTAATTTAGTAGATCGCACGTTAAGTATTGACGTGGGTTTAAAGAGATGAGTTGTGTTTAAAATATTACCCCACTAATAGTCAACATCCCTTTGGAGCCTTCAAACGAATATATAATGTATGTATTGCAGGTTATTAATAATGAACAATTACAGTCTGCTAAATTTAGACTACGTGTCGTACACAATACTTTTTGTCTCAAGACGTATCATTAATACTGTATTGTACTTGGGAATGGTGTTTAGAATTCTCGTATGGCATTTACTTCAAAATGTTGAAAATGTATTTGAATTTTAAATGCGCCATTAAGGGATACGAAACGTTGCGACGACAACGTCATTAATATTAAATGGTATCAGAAAAACACACATAGTGTAAACTGATCGGAACTACACATTGGCTTTTCATTGGCTATTATTCCATCTGAGGTAAGTGATTGATACTGTTACAGTATTATTAAAGATGTACAGCACTAGAAAATGGAAAAAAGTTAATTTCTTTGAATAAGGTATTAATTTACAATTATACATTTGGCTGAGAAAAAATGTCCCTGTCAATTAACGGACAATTAAAAATACCTTTCCTGTATTCTTTTTGCATAGACCCTTAAATTATACGGTAATTAATTAAGCGATTTTTATGTAGTAAAGTATGTATAAATTAGCGAAAACTTTTTTATTGACCTGTTTCAGGTTGGAAGTTTAGACTTATTTGATGCTTTTTTCTGTGTAAAATTTCAACTGATTTTTTTTGCCAAACATTTCATTTTTAATTTGTTTATTATTATTATTATTATTATTATTATTATTATTGCTGTTGCTTTCGTTGTTGCTGCTGTTTCTTTAGTATTTGGCCTTTCTGTATGTTAGTATTTGGCATTGCGTATTGTTCGTGACGTGCATTGAGGTTATTGCAATTTAATTTTAATTTTGGTAGAATCGAAGTAAGATGACGAAGTAGGGATGTAATTATCATCAGCCGTTGTCAATTCCACCTTTTCTACGTCCAGTTAACAATCAAGTACCATACTTAAGCACGACTACAGAAATTAAACTGGTAGATTATGATGATATGAACCTGCATAATGCAGAGTAAAAAAGTAGATCGCTACGATAGGATTACTTACTAGTAGGATGATTCAACATCCATTAGAAGTGTCATCATCAAGGATATGTATTTATTATTGGCTCGCCACTGCTCGATGGGATGCTACTTTACCGCTTGCCGAAACAATATCGAAATTATTCTCAAAGGAGTTCTGCTGATTATGATATGAATATACATATCACGTGGGTCGCTAATGTATGCTATCCGTCAGTAATGAGTTTTTGTTTTAATACCAGATGTGCAGATGTTATGTTGGAGTTGATTTGCTTATGAATTCGTTGTTTGGTCGTTACCTCGCTGGATTTTAATAATGTAAGTTTCTGAGACTTACCACACTATTCGACTATAGAATAACCGTTCAAAAGAGTTAGTAGAATGTTGTCAAACTGCATCGCTCTTGCTAAATATAATAACCATATGTAGCAGAGATTATAATTTGGTATCTCTCGTAAAAGCATGTATGGATAAAACGTGTAGTTTGCTAAATAGTAGGAAGCTTTCGATTGCACGACGACGGTAGGACGTAGAACGTAATCAGGGTCGGATCCAGAATTTTTCAAATGGGTTGGGTGGGGGA